CCCCGGGCTCCTTTCCGCCACTCCCGTGCTGGCAGCCTCATCTTCAGACACCTCACTTTTGCGTTTTTTCCCTCCCCCCAGGTTTGCCAGAGTACTTATGGAGAAAGTCAAGAAGCAGGTGAAAAGATGAAGCAAGAGGTTGAAGAAGAAAGCGGCAGTTGAGATCCATCAGCGGCGTCACCCCGAATATCTCAATTTCAGCAGAGAGTGGGAAACAATGTTCTCTTTTGAGCTACTTTCTGCAAAGTGATTAAATCGAAGCTATCACCTTAGTGAGGCGTAATCCAACACGTCCCGTCACGGTGCTGCACTTATTCTTGGGAGGAGATGGCTGCTGATTGCTTCAGTCAAGTCTTGTTAGAGGTTCACCACGATCTAGAAAAGAAAATCTCTGGCAGGTTTTTCAGTAAATACAGAAAGCTCATCCTGTGGCTTGGGGTTGCTCCTGAATGTACATAGGAGTGTTTGCTGGGGTGGATAGACTGAAAACTTGGGGTTTGGTACAGTAGCCTTTGAGTTCTTTTGAAGCTGGAGTTTTACCCAGCCTGAGCAAATCCAGCTTTCTTCTACCTCTACATGACCTCTTGTGTGGAAGACTGTGGATAAAACAGCCTGGCAGAAAGAAAAGGGCAATAATGACAAAATTTGTCAAATGATGTTTTTAAAAGTAAGGGTTCCAACACAGATTGGGAAAATTGTCAAAGAGGTTATGCATATTCAATTAAATTGTATGTATTCCAGCCTCAACAATTCTGCAATTCTATGTTCACCCAGACCATGCTATTTTGCATCTTTCGCTACAACCATCAGTTCCTGGTTTGAGACCAAACAAATCCTAAAGCTGCGCATATGCATTTTAATGTCATTTGCAGTTTGTCTCAGCAAAATCATTTGGGACACATTTTTTTTAGTACATATATAACTTTTGGTTATGCAACAGGCTTGAAATTTAAGATTTATTATTTAAGAACTTCTTTTAAATATGTGCTTTGAACCCAAGTCTTCTGACACTCAGTAATTTGCTTTGTGTTCAGCCCAGGCTATCAGAGGAAACCAAACATATCACATCTGTTTCCACTGGAGACCTGTATCACATCAATAATGCAGCATCACCAGACTCTCCCTGAAATACTCCTGTGTAAGAGAGAGAGGAAGAACAGGACTGATTTTTTAAAGGGCAAAGAACTCTTTTCCCTATCTGAGTCATATTTTCTATTTCTGTCAAACTAAACCATTCTATTTAGCTATCTTCTTTATACAACAGCTCTTTTTTTGCCATATTTTCATTGCTTAAGTTTTGAGTGATTGGGCTATCATCACATTCACAGTTTTCAAATAACTCTTAGCAAAATGTGTTGTAGGTGAGGCCAAATCCTGGAAAACAAGAAACATGTTGTTGGATGAAAACCTTCTGAAGGTGGTGTTCTGTGGCAGCTATCAATGTACTCTTAATTTGCTCTATGTGTTAAGAACCCGTTGTACGATGGCAGGCTGAATCCCTCACAGCAAACTACTTGGCCAAGTTATGTATCCCTACCTACCCTACAGATTCTTCTTGTTGGAAAAAAGCTTTTGGGGCTTTAATGAAGCATTTATTTTATTTTTAGTTTATATGGGTTTTTATGTTCCCAGAAGTGGAGTGGTTGCAAAAGGCAGGTTCCCTAATGGTCTGGTTTACTGGCTGCCCAAGTGAATTTTTAACTCTGTGTTTGCACTGACTACTGAGCACTGCTGGCAGGCTCTGCTCCTATCTTACTTGTATAACTTTCTACAAGATGTTGTGCACTTATCCTTAACTTTGGTGAAAATAAAATAATTTTTAGGAATTGCAAGGAATGTATGTGAGCTGTATTTTTTCTCCTTTCTCTCTTCTCATTTCCCATTTTTCTTTCCCCCTTTCTCCTTCTACCTTTCCCATCTCCTTTACCATTTTCCTTTTCCTTTTCTTTTTCCCTGCTTAAAACCTCTCCTCTCCTCTCCTCTCCTCTCCTCTCCTCTCCTCTCCTCTCCTCTCCTCTCCTCTCATTTTTAAACCACACACTTGGTTTGGTAGGTTGTTTGTGCATAAGATGATAACCTTTATCAGGCCATGCTTTGGTACATCAGTACTGCCATCAGTTTTAAGTTTATCCTCTTGAATAAGTTCCATCCCAGGCTGGCTGGGCACCCAGGAGATGTGTATCCAAGTTAATATATCTCAGCCCTCAGCAGGCTCAAGGTCCAAAAGCAATTCAAAAGACAACCTAAAGTACTTGGTGTACTTCTCTGAAATACTGTGACATCTCTGGGTTCCAAATACAGACCTGCAGTTCTCAGTGTAGAGATCCAACAAAACAAAGTCAGAGAGAAGGCCCTTGCTTGTTGTAAGTGCAATCTGAATACCAGATAAAAAGGATAAATATGGAAAGGATTCTTAGCATAGTATAAAAAATATGAGATATTTTGCATAGGTTTCAGGAACTTTTGTTTACAATTTCTCAGGCACAGAGTAACAGAAGTACAGAATGGTCATTGCTATCTTAACTTACACCCTGCTAGCAGAACGAGTTCCAGTCAAAACTGTAGCTCTAGTCTGAAAGTCCATTTTTAAGCTACAAATAATAGCTTATTTAGCTATTTTTAATTAGCTAATTTATTAAATTGACAAAAACAAGAGCTGATATGAATTTTCTACATATGCTCCAGAGTATATTATACTAAATGCCAAGGTTTCCTGCATCTTTATTGCTTAAATTGGAATTCATAGCTTCATCTTATTTAATAGCAGGGAAAGTTTTAAGAGCATCACTCCAAGTCTGGCCACTGGTCACAGAGGGGTGAGTGGTTGAGGTGGGTTTTTTTCCTAATCTTAGTCTCATATACTTTGTTTGTTTGCTTGTTTCCCATGGCAGTAGCAATTCTGATATTATTAATGGTGGAGGCTCTGGTATAGTTAATGATGATTTGATAACAAATGCAGAGGAAAAGAGCAACATTGAGAAAGAACCATGAAAGTTATCCTCACAGAGGAAATATATATTTTAATTCCTTACAAACCTACATCAAACACAGTTAATCTACATTGTGTATTACAGTCATCCAGCTTATTTGACATTTTGGTACAATCAGACGCAACTTTGCCTTTCACTGAGTAGCAAGTCTGGGTCTAGATAATCCACTGAGAGTGAATGGCAATTTGCCTGTCTGCTCTTCTTTCAAAATTAATTATAGCAGACATACACATTGCTGGGAACATTTGCCTGAGTAAAGTAACACACAGCCATGAAATCTGGTGATTGAAAGGTAAAGGGAATTAATGTTTTCATATGAACAAGCTTTTTCACAAAAAAAGGGAAAAACAATAATGAAAGGAACTACTAGTTTATCTTACTCCAATTTTTACTGTCACTCCCAATTAAAAGATTTTTTTTTTTATTTTTGAGGCATTAATTACACTAACCACTTTATAAATATATGTATTTTTAACTGACATCTGGTGAAACACTTGAAACTAGAGGAGACAGAATGTGAATCGCTCCCGGGTCAGTTGTGACATGTTGCAGGAAGCCTGTGATGGTCACACCCGGAGGTTATGAACCACGCTCAGGGGCAGATGTCACTCACTTTCTTTTAGATGTTCTGTGCTTGACTTCTCAGATGATTTAAAAAGAAGCAGGAACTATTCAGCCATGTTATTTGCCTTCACTTTTGATTTGCTGATACAAGACAACTGCAAGTAACTGCAAAAAAGTGTGTCTGTTATTTGTGGACAAAACCACATAGAAGCCAATCAGGAAAATTTCCCAAACTATTTTACTGGAAGGGAAGAGCAGTGCAGTATTTCCCCCAAATAAATGAAATTACTTCTTTTTTTTTTAAATTTATTTTTTCAAGGTGTTCTCCTTCCACTTCTCTTGGTGCTGTATGATATAAGTTCTTTCAGATGGAGACCATTCCAAAGATGCTTGACCCTAGCTCCAATGAGATATGTATATACAGTTGTTTCATACTTAGAATCTTCTTATTTTTTGAATATTTTTTGTTGCTTCATTGAAAATCCAGAATAAATTATGTGAGTGTGTATCTTGTAAGGCAAGTTCATCAAATAGCTTGTATTATCTTCTAGCCTTCAAAGCAGTATTTGAAGTCACTGGGAGAGCACTAACCTATGAGAAATAATGCCAAAGCACATTGAACAGGGTTTTGAAAATTTATTTTGTTACATACTACATTAAAAGTACACTATGTGCATGCAAAACCACTTGTCTGTAGGTTTATTCGAATGAACCAATAACCTCTGTCTTTTTTTCACCTAGGATGATAAGTGTTAAACAGGTTTTTAGCCTTGGTAATTTAAAATTGTATATGTTCAAAACCAAACTTGATACCAGCATTTTTTGCAACTCTGTGCAAAGATTTTTTTCATGAAGGAGAAAGATGCTCCTGCCTATTATCTACATTGTCTATTGCAAGTCCCAAAATCAGAGAGTCCTGGCAATATGGAAACAGCTCAAAGAAGAAGTAATTGGGAGGAAAGGTGAGCAGATTGCCTCCTCCACATGGGGATAGGACATCCATGAAGTAGAGTTTGTCCATCCAGTCCAGGAGCTGGGTTAGCCAGCCACAAGCAACCACCATCACACAACCCTGCCTACTTCACAGGTATTCAATTATCTCAATGTTTTCCCCTGTTTCTTGGGGATGCACCTGCTGCTTCCCAGCATTTCCTCAGGCTGCTGGGGAGCAGGGCTGCTTTTTCATCATACAGAATACACAATGCCAGTGTCAGCTGGGGAAATTCCTGACTGGTCTGGTGAGACACTGGAACAAAGCAAGCAATCATAATCACATTTGGAATTAATATTAAAATAACTTCCAGTAATCTGCATGAAAGCACAGTCTATCAGTCAGGAGAATGAAGCACTGATTGCATCCTTTCTTTCATAAGAAGAGTTTTCTTAGACCAGCACTCCCCACAAACTTACATATTTGTGCAGTGTGGTAGGTGCTTTACCCTATATTATTAAAGGATTAACTTAGCATTTAATAAATTGAAACTATCACAGTATCTTTTTGTATGCTGTCAAGAGAGATTAACCCAAATTTTTGACCTGATTTTTTTTGTTTTGTCGTTTCCCTTCCTCCATGATCTGCAAGCAGTCTTTTACTCTACACTAGACTTGTCATCGCTGCTGTGGAGAGACAATAACTTAACATAGAGTACTCATTCAATAGAAATAGTTCTTTGGATCTATTTTTAGGGTCAGTTTGCTCTGATGAATCATGAATATCCTTTAAGATTCATTGCTATCAGTATCAGAGTAATACAAGATCTGTTCAAAACTCAAGGTCAAATTCAAGGTTTAATGGCACATGGGAACATAAAGGAACACAAAAAACATATTTAGGACTCTGTTGTAGGAATCCTTGTGTTGCCAGAAAAAGAGCCACCTTGTTTCTGCCAGCTCTTCTGCGACTTCTCTATAGAAAAGGGTCTTTGGTGTAAAGTCAATAGCATTTCTTAGAGCACTTCTAAAAAGTGAAAGGTACTGTTACTAAGCAGCACAGGTGTGAACAGCCTGGGGGGGTTTTTGTGTGTGATAGGAGCTAAACCCTTCCCAGGCTAAGGGCAGCACCTTTCAATTGTGCAGGCTAAAATAATGTTGCTGCTTCTGGTCTTTTCAATGCTCCCACTGGGGTAGGTTATGACCTAGTTAATCTATATATCTATGTATCACAAAGGTGAACTGTAGAGTTCTTTGAGCTCCTCTTTGCTCTGGACCCAAGGGCCTCAGTCAGCATGCTTATACATTTTCTCTTCAGTTACACTTATGCTGTGTTTTGAATTTTTATAATTGTCAAAAGTAGCAAAGAATATTTTCATAAATAACACTGAACTTTGCCCTAAAGTTGTAGAATGGTGATTTAACAGTGATCAGTATGTGTTAAGTCCTGAAACTAGACAGGAAATAAAGCTCCTGTTCAGAACTTGAGCTTGAATTCTATAATTATACAACACTTAGGGACTCAGATTGCAAGCCATTGCTTATTAAATATAATTCATAGCATTTTACATGGACAACTTGATTATTATTCTTTTGATATACATGACACAGATCATACCTCTGCTTTTATTTTGAATGGTAATCTTGCAACATTCAGTTATGTTAGTCAAATGACCAGCAGAACACTAATTGTTCTCAAAGAGCTTTTTAACTTCAAAGGTTTCAAATTTTAAAATTCAGATAAAGTACAACTTGGTAATGCTTTTCTGTATTGATACAAGCAAGCTGAATTTACAGAATGTAGTAGATCTACTGGAAACATTTGCCCAAGACAGGGAATATTCATAGCAGAAAGCCTATAGAAATCTTCTTTTCTTTAATATAAAAAACATCACCATGAAAGAGTGAAATTAAATAAATTAAAAAGAACTAACAACACCATGTGTGCTTGCTGTTACTTTTGCTTTCATTATGACACAACTCTCTCTAAATTTAAAAGGAAAAAGCAAGGGTACCTTTCAATTCTGCAGGTGAAAATAATGTTTCTGGTGCTGATATTTTCAATGCTCCCACTGGGGTAGGTTATGACCTAGTTAATCTATACATCTGAAGAAAAGACAATTGACTTGCCATAAAATTTCAGCAGAGGTACTGAAAGGACAATCTGGCCTGTAAGTACTGGGGAATTATGTATGTGAGTAAAGCTTTGGCCCCAGCTGTCAAGCACTAACTGTGTTGTTCATGTAGCAAGGTAGGAGGAGCACTGGGAGCTTCTGTAGTCTTGAGTGCTCCGGAAAAACACAGGTATTCCATGCAGAAGCAAAATGCATGCCTCATCTTG